AGAACCACTAGAGGGTTTTTATAGCAAAAGTTAAACTCAGACTCCCCAACACGACAGGCGACAGCTCCGACGGTGCGGTTTGATTTTAAATGTTGAAAAGAACTGAAGGAGGTTTTGACGAACTACGACCCCTTCAGGCTCTGGAGTCTGGATCAGGACGGAACCCGTTCATGGAAAAGCTGAAACTAAATCTTTAGACCCGCAGATTTTACCCCCCGGGTGTCAACGCTGGTTCATGCAGGACCGTCCTGCAGAGCTGAGGTCCTGAACCCTGGTCCTCAGAACCCCCTGGTCCTGAACCTGGTCCTTCCCTGCAGCTCCTGGTCTGTTAATGAACCAGTTATTTAAATGGCACGTTTCGGATCAGTCCAGTCCAGAGTCCAGTTCAGTTTCTCGGTCTGCTGCTTTCGCACCAGGTTTTAAGCCCCGCCCCCTCCAGGTAAACAAACCGGACCTCGCTGTTGGATTATTTTTCCAGATGAAGACTGTTCTTAAAATATTTACAACTCTGCTACTGTTTGTTCATTTTTACAAAACATTTAGCTGAAATTATGTTTTTATGCTTTAAAGTCGTGACGTAAGGACTCTGTTGGGGGGTCTCGTGGTCCCGGTAGTCCTGTGGGAGTCCCACCAGTCTAACAGAGACCTGGACTGGTGTTGGATGAAGTCATTTAACAGAGAGGCTCATCGACGACTCTTGATTTATCCCTTTATAATTTTTTATTTCTTTATAAACAGTTGACCCTCCGGTTGGCGTTTGACCCAGTGGGGTCCTGGTCCTGGACCAGACTTTGGGAACCACCGGTTTAGGTGACACTTCATTGATGTGATCGTTTGTGGCGTTCAGTGGTAACAAATGAGAAAACTGGTTTGTGTAAATCTCATTTTGTAGCATTAAAACATATTTAAATAAATGTATCAATATTTGATCAATTAATTGATAAAAGCTGCCGCCCCGTTTCTACACAGACGAGTAGTTCCTGTTAAAAGTTCTACGAGCTAGAAGGAACCTGTGGGTCTGAAAGCACCGCATCAGAGACACTACGAGGCTTTGATCAGGATAAAAGTTTCTTACTGAAGGAGAGAAAACACTGAGGAGGAGGAGGAGGAGGAGGAGGAGGCCATCTTCATCTCAGCACTGACCAGAGTCAGGCCACGTCCACACGAGAACGCCTTCGTTCCTAAAAATATCCCCGAAAACGTTTCTGGAAATGTCTTCACCCACACGAAGACGCTTCTACAGACGTCTTCGTCCACATGAAAACGCTTCAACAAACGTCTTCGTCCACATGAAAACGCTTTAAAAAACATCTTCATCAACACAAAAACATTCATAAAAACGTTTTTGTCCACATGAAAACGTTTCCGGAAACGTCTTCATCCACAAGGAAACGT